CTTCCTTTTCATCTCTTGCTAAAGCACAAGCACCAAAGCGAAGCGTCTGAGATGCTGGGGCTGTCCCTCCCCCGTCAGGAATCTCTGTCATGATTTGTCAACACGGCATCTCACACCCAAAACACAACGCGGAAATCAAATGTTAAGACAGGAGGAAATTCAATCTGGATTTCAGACAGCCGGACGCGCGCCTTCCAGCAGCAGCCAGCCCTCCCCTGGGAGCCACTGCAGCAGCCCCAGAGCTGGAGATGTAATTACTTCTTTAATGTAGAAACACAAAACCATTCTTCCTCCTCCAAAGGGCCGGGCGTCTGTCACCTCTTGGAGTTTAAAGCTGCAGAAAGCTCCAGTCAGGAGGCCCGACCTTTCCTCTCCTCCCTGCCCTCACTCTCATTCCAGTTGCTGTTGCTATTACGTTTCTGCAGGTGCTGAGGTTTTTGCATCCAAGTCCCTGTATTCACCCCACTTACACCAGAAACGCTTCAGGGTGCTGGTTCAGCTCTGCTCACAGACCTAGAGCCATTGCAACCACCCTACTAGACCTATGTTATAAAGCCTTGCAGTCCCCCACCCTGTCTGGGGACTTCAAGCCATGGATGGTGGGTGCTAACCACTGCTGCGTAAGCCCATGTAGGGGCCTGGCCATCTCCTGCACCAAAGGTCCATGTCGAAGCCTGGCAGCATGTTTCTTGCTCCCCTGCCACCACCCCTGAGAGCCCAGCATTTCCCCGTTACCTTGAACTCCAGCTCCATGCCGGTTACGTGCTCCCCCACTTCTATCTGCGCCAGCTTCTGGATGTACGTGTAGAGGTTCCTGGCCGGCACCTCTGTGTTCCCGCAGGCCACGGCTTCGAGCAAGGCATCGTGTATAAAGCTGTACTGATCCTCCGTCTGCACCATGTAGTTGCGCTGTGACCTCATGAGGGTGACGTGTCCATAAATGTCCACTGTCTTCTCATGCTTTATCCTCTCCAGCATGGCGTCGATCACGATGAAGCAGCCGGTCCGTCCGACGCCCGCGCTGAAAGGGGAGGTTGGAGGGTGAGTGACATGTCACACCGCCTAAGCTCTTTCGTTCCCTACCAACTGGCCAGACAAGACGGGACGGTCTTGCCAGTGCGAGCGAGCCGCGGGTGGGCGAGTAGATGTGCGGCACACGGCACCACACACAGGATGCGAGGAGCATGTGAAAAGTAAGTGGGTGGTGATAAAGGCCCTGTCAATATAGCTGTAGATAGAGGCAAGGTAGAGACCGTGGAGGGGGTCTGCCTTCCTCTGCAGTGGGGATTACGGTCCTCTTCTGTACATCTCCCGAGCATATTTTAACAAGCTACTTCCTGTCCTTGCAGGACTTTGCCAGCGCCCGCGTCCACCTGCTTTTCTTGCGTCAAGTTAAAGGAAGTTTTTTGATGTTCCTGCCATTGTGCCTGGTAGCTGGGTGTGAAGGCTGGTCCTCGAGTTTTAAGAACAGATTAGACAGGCACAAGAATGGCTTAGACAGGGATGGGCCTTCCTCAGACTAGATGACATCCTGAGGGCCCTTCGAGCCCTACTTTTCTACGATTCTGCGGGTCAAAATAATTTGTGGCTCCCTAAATTTCTGGGACTCTGGCCTCTCAGTACTATGGCTTTATTAATATTTGTTGCTGCTTTATAAAAGCAAGCCAGGAAGCCAGCCTGCCATGATTAGAAAACTGGTAGGCGAAAAGGAGCATGTAGCATCCTGGCTTCCATAAAGCATTAATAACAGACAAGTCCCTGGCAGCAGAGAGGCTAGAACCACGTGTGGGGGGAAAACCCCCCCAGCAAGGTTTAATGCTGTAAAATGCAAACCAGAGAGAGAAACCCAAGTACAGATGGAGTACAAGAAGCAGTGGCCAGCAGCAGTGCCGGGAGCCACCTTGGTATGGCAGCAATGCAAGTGGCAATGAGACACCAGCCTGCAGTCACGGGGGTGCCAACTGGGCTGGGCAAAGAGGCTTGCCATCACCAAAATGCTGGGGCACGGTTGAACTCAACGAAACCAAGCAAGAGTCCCCGGTAAAGTGGTCGTGAAAATGCCGACAAAACAGAGGGGACTAGGGTAAAGCAAGAGCAACGGGAGAGGGGCTGGTGGGTGTGAGAAGGAGGGGTGGGCTGCACCACCCCCGTGACCATTCTGGCCCGCGATGGAAGAGCGCTGCTGGGATGAACATTTCTGGAGGACGAGGATATACGACTAGGCGAATGGATGGAAGTGGCACAAGGGAGTGGAGCTGGGAGTGCCCGAACGAACAAAGCAGCCTTGGGGTGAGGTCTCCAGGCTTGGAAACAGCCGAAAGCTCAAGTACATGAATCGTTTAAGACTGGATGTGACGAGGTCCTAGGGAAACAGAGGCACGGGCAAGGGAGGGGAAAAGACACTTCCCTCCAGCTCAAGGGTGCCTGCGAGCTCCGGGTGCAACCTCTCCGCTCGCAGAAACCCGACATAGCTCCGCTGAAGCGCCACTGATTTCGGATGTCGCTGTCCGTGGTTTTAGAGCTCTGGGCTTCCCTGGGAAAGACCCCACGGGATTGATGTGCAAGGCTGTTGCAACCGAGCCCGCGCACTGGATCTGGCACGAGAAAGACTCAGAAGAAAACGAACAAAAGAACAAGCCCTTCCAGCTGGGGTTGGGAGAAGCAGCCTGTTAAAAAGTCTTGCTGTTTAAGCTTCGGAGCATCAACTTGGTAGAGAAGGAGGTTCCCAGAGATGGGACAGGTCACCTCCTCTCCTCCCGAGGCCCAACACTGCTTTCAGCACGACCTACCGCCTGGTGCTGCTCCTAGTTTACCCCAAGGAGCCCCAACCAGGGGGGCTCTGCTCTGAGCCTGGGCCCAGCTTGGCAGGAGCTTCGTGCCGATGGTTGGTCCTGTCACCTGAGGACACGAGGCAAAAAGCCACGTCTGGCAACCTGTCTGTCGCTCCCCGATACCAGTCCGCCCCGTTTCTCACGCCTCCTGGTCTGCGGCAGCACCTCAGTAGGAGATCTGCCCATCAGACACACAATTATGGCAGCTCCAGGTCAGGGGTTTTGGGTCTGAACAAAGGGCTGGTGTGATCTAAGGGCTCGAAAAGCATGTTTAATCACCCGGGTCTTTAGGCAGCTGAGAAACGACTAATGCCGTAATGAGCAACACGCATCACCCCTGTACCTTGATGCACAAAAACATTTGGGTCACATCAAACTTGCATGCAAAGGCATTTATGAATCAGCGTGGGCCTGCGGGGTCTGCGCCTTTACTGCACTAATAAAGGGCTTCCTCCCATTAGTCAAGCGCGGCCCCCTTTTTTCATAAAACCCCCTTGATCTCTGTTAATTAGACTGTGCAACACCTGAACCACGCAAGTTGCTGGAGCTCTGGCAAGAAGTGTGGGAGCTGATCAGGAAGCTAGTTCTTATCACTCGTGTGCTGCCCGCTGCCTTTATTCACTTTCTGAGAGGGGCGCGATAATTGCCATCTGCAGGGTTAGCGATAAGTTGCCCACTTACAAAAATGATTTAAGCTGCGTCCTCCAGGAGAGGCAGGATTAGATTCCCCCTGACTGCTTCTAAAATTCGCACGTCACTTTCCCCAGCGCTAGGTGACCCACCAGCCCCTCCAGATCTCTCCTGAGGACCGAGGGGGATTTATCAGAACGGCGGCAGCTGCGAGCGTCCCTTGCCGGATTGTACATTGAATTAGGGAATGCAACCTGCCCGTGGGGGTCTGTGGCTTGTGGCTCTCCACACTGCATTCATGATGACGGTGGTGCTCGAACAAACGTCAGAGACCCCCTACCTCTCCTTTGACACCCGGCCACCAGTCCCCCCACTGCGCTACGTGGCAACATCACTGCTGCAGCCTCAGCCCCATTTTATCTTCTCCCTTCCCCATTGCAACAAATGAGTTTGCTTTCTTGCTGAAGGGCAGCACATTACCGAGTGCCCTCCCCTGCCCCGCTCCAATGAGGCCTTATCTACGTGGAGCCAACCAGCCCCACGCAACGGGGGAAATTCCTCTCTGAATAGAAATCCTCAGCTGTTGCGTGGAAACCACTCGAGGGGACCACTCCTGCTTGCTGGGTATGCAAGAGGGAGTGTGATAAAGGGGCTTTCCCTTGGGCTGGGAGTCAGGTTGCGTGGCACTGTTCCTCTCGCTACTCGTAGGAGCAGGCCTATGGGTCTGGCCGGGAGCGGACCGGTACCTGCAGTGCACCACAATCGGGCCAGCGTCGGGCGGGTTGCAGGTCTTCACACGTCTCAGGAAAGCCAGGAATGGGGTCGGGTACTCGGGCACACCGTGGTCCGGCCATGCCGTGAACTGGAACTGGCGCACCTCCCTCTTCTCGCTGGAGCCGTTCTGTGGAGGCAGGGTGGTGGCAGCGCCGTGAGCCACGCCAGCACCATCACGCGCGCCGCGGGTGGGGGGGGGAGTTACAGCACCCAGGGGCAGCGTGCCTGAGCCTGCCTCACCTTGTGAAGGGAGAAGGTCCGAACGCAGAACGTGGCCAGTTCGATGGTGTCAAGCAACGTAACCTGAATCATCCCGTACGTGTCTGTGCCCCGGCCAGGCCAGTACTGGTCACACTTTATCTGCAGGAAAAGGGGGTCGTTGCTGAGCTCTGGACCGTGATCCAAGGCAGGATGTTCACCCCTGTTGTCACGACACTGCAGCAAGTGCTGCCCACCCAGCAGAGGCAACAGAAGCAGCACAAGGCATTGCTGGAGCACTGCAATACAGATCCCGCCCCCCCCAGCCCAGTATGCTCAGCTCCACAGCCGCCATGCATTAAATGCCACTTCTCTGGAGGGGCTCAGGCTCTGTGGCATGCTGCTAGCCCAATGCACCGCAGAGCAGACGCTTCTGGATGGCTGGGTAGCCTGCTTCAGAAAACATTAGGCAAAACAATAGGACTCTCCCTTTGCTACGCGAGACAGCCCATAGCCAGGCTTAGGGCACAAGCCCTGGGATTCACTGCCCTCACCCTGGAGCTGCAAAGGGATCTCAGGTGGGTTGGTGGATCTCTGAATCCGAAGCAGCGAGGCAGGCCGAGCTCTTCTGCCGGTGTTATCATGGACTGCAGATTGCAGGGGAGGAGGGGGGCTGTTGTATTCCCCACGCACATCTCTTACCTGCATCTCTCCACCGTCCAGTTCCCACCCTGCTCACGACTACCCGGCTGCCCCTCCCGAGTTTCTCACCCGTGATTTCTCCTCCAGCTTGGTCATCATCACAATGGTCGCCGAACGCTGCTCCCACACCATCCGCCAGAAGTCTCCGAAGGTCTCAGGCAGGGGGCCCTGGGTGGCAATGTAGGCGTTCTGCTTCCGGTAGCCATCTATGTAGTTGGCGTTAATGTAGTCGCTGCCCACGATCCCTGCATCAAGACACAGTAAAGGGAGTCAGCTGAGTTCGGCAGGATGCGCCTTTATGACAACACCTGTTTGAAGCAGCCTGAGCTCCTTGGAGCCAAGTCGGGTCCAGAGAGGTAGCAAATCTGCATAGTTTCAGCTCGGCTGAAGTTGAGCCCCAGCAAAGGATGCTACTCAGTAAATCTGCATTACAGAGATAACGCATCCATTGTGTGGGGGGGGGGGGGGAAATGGGGGACAAAAACCAAAAAAA